CACGTTTGGTAGAGATAGTACTAAATGTACTCTCTGAGATGACAAACATCATATTGCTATATTCTTTGTTTTTTACAAACCAGTCTGTCATGTCATTAATATTTACATTAGCATTATTGCATTTACATGTACATATCCTATACATGATGTCATAAAAAGTTACTTACTAGAACATGCAACAGTTTTCTGTGAGTTCAAAATACCGGATTTCCAGAAATGCTCAAGTTTCACAAAATTTTTCTTTAAACTCTTCCAACAGACAGTGCTAATTGCAATTTTTAATAAGCCAAAAAGTTCATTTTGAGGTATTCTTAAGCATTTTCATAATGACACAAATGTCAACTTTTTTAAATAACTTTCACACGCGTTAATATGCACATTTCCCAAGATTTGGAAAAACTTAAAGCATTGTAAGTAGAAGTGCTTTAAATGACTTTCCAAGAAGATTGGAAATAAGTATAGCATTTGTAAGTGAAAGTGCTTTAAATGACTTCCAAGAAGATTTGGAAAAACTATAGCATTTGTAAGTGAAAGTGCTTTAAATGACTTCCAAGAAGATTTTTGAAAACTCAAAAATGTTCTGCAAAAAAGTTTCAAATTTCACATTTACATAAACGCTTCAATGCTATTTTCTTGAAAAGACTAAAACTTTTAAATAAAAATTGCCATTTAGAACGAAGTTTCACACCTCTTTAATATCCTTAAAGATAGATTTTGGTTCTGCTATTAGGAAACGAGAGAATTTATTTTTTTTTGTTTTTAAATGTACTTTCGGCGGCAATACAAAGCAGCATGCAAGAATATTAGCCAAGTACAATTAGCTAGCCCAAACCAAAGAAAATAAAAAACGAATACAAAAATGTCTCTGCCATTCTGTAGCACCAATCACTGGGTTTTTATGAGATATTGAGGTCAACTTCTTTTTTTCAAATATTTCAATATTTTCAAGTGAGCAAAAAAGTACATTTGTTATTAATATTAAATTGATTATCCAATCATAGAATGGAAAATAGAGAATTTTTAGAAATTTTCAAGTTTTTTCAACTATTATTTATTTAATTATGCACTAGTTAAAAACTGATGTGCGATGGGGAGAAATTACTTTGAAGTTACATTTACTTCCAGAAGCAAACGAAGCAATCTCTGCATTTGCTCAAGGATCAGGGAAACTGGACAAAAACCTGATCAAGAATGGGGACATTGACCCAGAAACTGAAGTACAATACTTGTCTCGGGTTCTTTAGAATTTTACAATCCAAAAGGTAAATAATACACTAAATATCATTGTTAAAATAAACATTTTTCTTTTGGATGCTTGGTATAATATCCAATTGTATAGAAACAGTTGTGCAGCAGAAAAGATTTTACTTTCAACTCAAACTTTTATATCGAATTTAATCGTTTAAAGTCATTGGCAAAGTGGTGTAAAATAATGTACATGTAGTGAGCAGTTGAAACCGTCACCTCATTAATATGATTACTATGCCAAGTGTTGGGGATATAGACATTGTCATTTACTAAAAATATATTACTGCCCTTAAGTAAGTCATTTTTGACAAAAAACACTGATTCATATATCAAGAGACAAGGTAATGGTAAAATACCTAGATTAATAAAGAGAGGCTTACAAGAATCACGTGATTGGGATTTGATTATTATTCATACAATTCTTTTTTGTAATCTAAAAGTGTGGGAGCTATAAGATGTATTTCCCCAGAATATTGTGCCATATCTCAAGCGAGAATGAACATTCGCAAAATATATGCATTGAGCAGTATGGAGGCTGACTGAATTTGAAAGAATTCTGAAAGCATAGCATAAATAACTTAATTTAGTGTCAAATCATTTATATGGATCTTCCATTTAAGGTTTGACTGAATTGAAAGACCTAAAAAATTTGTTACCTTAACGTCAGTCAATGGCACACCATTCATTTTCAACTCATAACCAAAATAAATTTTGATAGAATTTGCCATCCTTGCAGGGTACGCAAGATCAAGCAGTGCTTTCTCTTGGTGTGTTCATGTCGTATGCTTTGGATTCGATAGCAATTTAAAATACAAAACATATTTCAAGGAAACCTCAAAACAGAAAATTCAATTATTTTCAAGACAAGTTAACATTATTATCCCACAGCTTAAGCCTGCCTTAAATTTAAGTAAATGATGTTTCTGTCATTTTTTTCTATAGCTAGTAGTACAGAAACACATGTAGACTTGCTAATAGATTAAAATCATAATCCCATTTCGAAGAAAAATTCTGAGATTCTCATTTCAAGTTGTTAGGATGGAGGTGGAGTTTACCTTTCATTCCCCCAGAAAATCCTCTCCAATTTGCAAAAATAAAGAGAGGAAGCCCTTCTTTGCTGAAATCTTGAATGGCTTGGGCAGTTTTATAAGCTGAATCTGGAAACCACACTTGACCAGCTTGTGAGACAGTCTGAGAAACAAGAGAAAGAACTATTATAGTTCTAGTAATCAACCTCTGAAGTTAATTAATTTTTTAATCAAATTTATAGATTTAAATTTGTCATCTTTCTTAAGTCACTTTTTTTCAGATGGAATTTCAATGTTTTTTGTGACATCATTGATGGCAATTGTGTCTCACAACACAATTTTGTATTTACAGTCTGTATCTTGTATTTGATGGTGAATATAATTTTGCTACTAAGCAAATAATACTATCATTATTCCAAAGTCAAGAATGAATATGAGGACTGCAAACACAAGGCTGTGATTTTACATAATTTTCATGATTAGGTTCAAGAGCGAGTATAATGTGTACTTCAGTAGGTAAAGTTACAAGATAGTATGTTTTACATTTTTTCTCAATACCACTGATAAATGATCACAATGTTCAGAAGAACATCTTCATATTAATTACTCTAAATACACAATTGTGCTTGCATGACTAAACTATGTGTCAGGGAGAAAAGGGTAGACATAGTAATCAAATAGTGCTATTAAGATTTACCTTAGCTTCAGAATCAAAATTTGCTGGATCAGCAGGTAAGTTGAGCTCAACTGTACGTGTCTCTACAGCAATCACTCCCACAGGAATTCCTCCTAATCTTGCACGGCCACAAACTACCGTTTGAGCCCATGGTTGCATTATTTCATTCCAGGATCCATGGTCAAAAAAGCCACTTTCCCATAAGCTTGGATTGCCTAAAACACAAGTTTTTCTAAGTGCAAAGAATTTTATTCACAAGTTTATTACATTCATCATTATTAATATTCATTATCATACTTGGATTTCTTCTTCCTGCTAACATCCATCTGGGATCATAGGGAGCTTTGGTTGGAATATATCCTACTTCTCGATCAACAGGATCCACCGACTTAATTTCCGGAACAGGAGACAGCTTGTCCTATCATTGGCAAATTGGAATTAAAACCTCAGTTCATTGGATTAGAGATATAAATCTTAAATTTGGAGAGAATTTCACCTTAGGAATGTACGATAGCCATTTTACAATAGTGTAAATCCCATCCAAATCATGAGGATCAGTCTTGTGAGAAATACCGTTATTGTACATAATTTGTATACCTCCCAACTGATTGTTGGAAGCATACACTTCTCGTCCAAGCAACTGCAATCATTATACAAACAATAAAAGCATAAAAAATTTTATTAATACTAAATATTAATAGAGCTTTTGAACAAAATATTATGTAATTTATTGTAATATATTTTGTCAAAAAAGAAAATTGAATCTGATTATTTCAAAACTGATTTCAATTGTTTGTTTTATTTAAAAAATCCATTCAAAAACTAATAGTAATTTTAGTTTCCTCTAAACTTACTTTGTTGAGGGCCTGATATCCAGTAAGAATTATATGAGAATTTTCAATCTGTATTACACGTTGTCCAAGTCGAACAAGGTATGATCCAATGCCAATAGCTCTGCAGGTTACCATAGAAATTGTTACTATTTCTTTATAAGCACTTGAAGACTCACCAGCTATCATTCCAGCATATTTAAGGTTCTCAACTCCTAAGCCATCTTCCTTACCTGCAGTACAATGAAATTGCGTGTAGTACCTACATTCTCTGTAAATAATTATACCAGGGAGCATTTAATTCTTTAGTTTACCTATTATATCTGTTATCTTATAACGAGATTCTCCCTCATCTTCAATCAAAATGGCGTGCACAGAATTCATTGCTGAAACTTTGGTGAAATCTTCTGTAGTTAAATACAAATATTTAAATCCCTGAAAGAAGCCACATAAATCACATTATCTTTACAGTTACCCAATATTTCAAAATGATAATGTAAAAGAAATAAAAAAGAAAATAACTAAGAGAAGTTTTTGTTTTATATAAAATTCATTATAATTTATAAACCCATTTCATAACATTACATAAAAATGATCTAATCATGAATTTATTAGAGGTTAATATGAAATATAAATTGCATCATTAAAGTACAATCAATAATACCTTATCAGGTTCTTCTGGATCTTCCCAGGCAACCCGAAATAAATGTTTGATTTCTTCAGCTAATCCAATTCTTGCACCACTATTCGCAGCAATATAGATTCTAGGTATTTTCTTTTGTCTTGCCAGTTCTGATGCAAGGCAGAATATGTGGTCTTCTTGAGGTCCAAAAGAGCCTATCATGTATGTAATGTCATTGGCAATAACAATTATTTCTCGACCCTCAGGATACTCTGGAGTATAGAGGGTCATTCGCCATGCAACCATGCCTACCTAAAAAGAGTTCAACAAAGATGTTTACATGAAGTCTCAACTCAAGAATTGCAAGCAATGTTCAGATTCAAAATCAACACACATTATTCTCTCCAGGTAATCTCTTCTGTTCAACAAGGCGATCATCCTCAAGCACCAACTCAACATAATCCATTATTTGCTTTGGCCGAGGAATATTTTCTGCAAAACATTACATATAATGTAAATAACTCATAGAACTTGATATCCCTATTCTAAAAAAGAAATACATTATCTTCAATAATTAACTAAATTTTCTCAGTTACAAGATTTTTCTAGCAGTTTATGATGGATCTATTTTAAAAACTATTATCATGAACTGGACCTACACTGCAACAAGGCCTTAAAGGAAATAGTTCCACATTACTAGGTAGTATTTGGTAAAAAAAAGAATGTACATTTTGTTCTTCAATAAGTAGAATCAGAAAAAAGATACAAATATGAAGTCCAAAGAAAACTCCACATTCCAAAAATAACATATTTGAATAGTTAAGCTAATACGATCAAGCTGTTCGGCTGTGAAATGTTTGCATATTTAACCACTTGATTGCTTATTTTTTTCCAGGAAGAAAAGAAGGAGAGAGTGTTTTATATCCAACGATGTGATAATATCAGAAATAAATCTATCTCAGTGAGTAATGTGTTCAGGATTCTATATTTTTAACGATTTGTTTACAACAAACACACCTGTAATCATGGGAAGTTCCTATAAAAACATGTTTCTTCTTAGAGAGAGGAGAGGGAAGGAGGGAGAGAGCACACACACGCACACAACACACAACACACTTTGGACAAAATATTATGATCAACAGTGCAAATACATTTACAGCATTCAAAAAGTAGTGCAATGAACTCCTTACCATTTGGCCTCTCTTCACAATACTCTCTCCACAATTTATCCAACATCTGTCGAAACATATCTGGGAAATCATACACATAGCTAGTACCAGCACTTTGAGCTTGAAAACGTTTCTGCTGAAGATAATCTTTGGTAAGGTAGGGAGTAGAAATAGGTAAACCATGCATAGGCCCTTGCTTGTTTCCATACGATTCAAATTTTATCTGAAACATTGACATTAAAGTAAATTTTCTCTATAAACGTTTCTAAATAGTGTACTCTTTAAAAAACAGAAAGCATGGTCAAATACATACTACTCCAGTTTTGGGGTCAGTAACTTCTTTGTATAACCATAAATCTAGTGAATACCCACTTTCATTTGCAAGGCACAATCGAACATTTGTTGTTTTACTATTAGGTGATTGTCTTATTGTCATTTTCAATTCTGCTTGAAGAACTCTTAGTTTCCATAAGCGTGGACCATAACGCATGACCATTGCTGTTACACTTTCTTCAATCTGAAATATTCAATTTTAAGAAATTTAGTGATCATTTCATTTGTTAAGACAAGAGAAATTTCCTAAATGATCATAGAACATACTACAAATAGGAAAGAACAATATGTCCTCAGTATTGTGAAGAATGATCACAGTACCATTTTAAGAATTTTCAGTTATTATTTTAAGAATTCTTGATACTTTATGTAACAATCTATTAAGGGAGAATTTAAGAATAAATAGATTAGATTAAAAAGAATGCAATGTGCTGTTGCTTTGTATATGTTCATCACTACCACCAAAACTTTCGATAAATAAAATCAAATCTGAAAATCATTACCAGTTAAAAATCAGACTTAAAATACATCATCAAGACTATATCATGAATTGCTTACTTTTGAAGGATCCATTATGACTGTTGGAACAAAGTTTAAAAATATATGATTGCAATCCGTTCTCTTAGAATCAGGATGTGAGAATGCAACTTCTAGTTCATCCATTGCTTCCAATAAAACTCTTTCTGCTTCATTCTGAAGATATTCAAAGGAGGCTTCTTTTGTAATGAGATCAGAGTGACGAATTATAGATCGAATAAAAAATCTGTAATCTGTTACTTCCTGACCTTTTGCAACCTACAATTCAAACATTATTAAAAATTAGAACTAAATGACACAAACTATTCACAAAATGTAGACATTAAGTTTACTTCTTACTTTCGCTTTTCCTAAATACAGATGCATCTTTTGATTTGATGTTGGAAGTGCTTCTAAATCGTAGGTTCTCATTCTGTTCAATTCTAGTTGAAATGCCATAGCAGGTTCTAAATGTCGATAAATACGGTCCTCTGCATATCCATCTCGGAATCGGTACGTGAAAAATTTTGGGAACTGACGCCTAAAAAGAAATTTGTCCCCAATTATGTCTTGTAAAACACAAGTGGAAATTCTAAGTTCAGTACATAAATTGGCACAGCTAACTTACTTAATGAGTATTACAAAAGTAATTCGTCTAATTCCACGCCTTTTCAACTCATCACTATGGCGAGCACAGAAATCACCAAAACGTCGGCTCAGCACTGAATCATCCGTGTCTCCTTTCTCTTTGATACCAACACTCAAGATATGAATTGGATCAACTTGCTGTTAGGAGATAATTATATAAATTAAATCCTTACCCCTTTAGATATAATATTGGCAATATAATAATGTAATAAAGCAATAAGGAATGATGGTCTCACCTTTTCGCCATCATCTTGAGTTGCTCTTCCATCACCTAGAGATGTACTGATATTTATACTAGTGCTAAGGCGTGATTCACTGCCACTTTCAAGAGCATCTAGAACTTTAGGAGATACTACGGCAGGAGAAGCAAAATCCTCTAAAACATCTAGCATTTCATCTGCATATTGTTCGAACTGCTCAAAAGTCTCAAAAGCTGCCATGCAACCTGTTCGCTGACAATTTTCCATACTCAATGAAAAATCGATTTCACTGGTAATAAGTCCATGTTCTGACTTATTCAGAGGTATCCTAGAAAGTACAGAAAATAATTACAGTTACTTGAGTAAAAAGATCATATTTAAACATATGTAAACCTTTACTAACCTGTTAGGATGTGATGATGGTAGGAGAAATTGAAAATGCACCAAGCTTATTTCCCCAGATAACTCAAGAAGTTGAAGACACGTTAGTTCATAAGAGATATACGCTCTTCGAACATACACCTTACAAGAGAAATATTTATTAATACACAATGAACAAATGTCCTTGAATAATATACATTAAAGGATATCACAAATGTATACCTCCAAGGAAGCATTCCGAACAGCTTTGTTCGTATGATAGAAAAAGTCATGAAGAATATCAAAAATAGAGGTCTCTGACAAAATTAATTTTTGCAAATTTTCGGGGTGGAAATCATGTCCATACATATCAACAGCAGACAAAAATATAGATTCCATTTGATTATGACGCAACTCATAGGCTGGTTGATGGGCAGCAATTAATACCTGAAATTTTAAAGTACTTTGTTATGTTATTTCAAGAATTAATGTAATAATGAATTTGGTTTTTACAGCATTAAAAAAGAGAAAAGACATTCTTTCACAACTTTATTTGAATGAATTACTTTCTATGACTTATCATCCCTCTGGCATATATTGAAAAAAACTTAAGCATCTCTCAAGCATATTCACGAAATTGCACGTAATATACAGTCAAACTGATGAATACAGTTCTGGTGAAACTGGGAGCCAGTTGCTTTTAACAAATGTTGAAGCATGCCAAGTCTAAAATATTAAAGAAATGGAGGGAAAGATTGAAGCAGATTTGTACTTCACGTTCTGACTTTGAACATTTTCAATTATTGATTTGAAGCCCTTGTTATTTTCTGTTTTATTTATCTTGGTAATATAACAGCAACAAATAAGATGTTTCTTTTTCATAGTAAGTCAACTATGAAAAAAATTAAGTGGACAAAAAAATGCTTCTTTTCATACCTGTCTAGCTCGCAGGGCTACACGAGAATGTTCACTTCTGTTCAGTGATGTCAATTCGTTGAGAGTAGTAGCTAATTCATCAGTCAGCCCAGGTTCATTTGACCATAAATGATCAATTAACATTGTAACAAGCATATTCTTTTTAGCAACCTTCAAATTCAAATATAAGATCACATCAGTTGATCCAACTTTGACACAGTAATCTAAGCTGAAAAATTAACAGTAATTTCATAATTTATGGATATTGAAAAAATGTCAAAAGGAAGACTTACTTGACAATGAGAAAAAATTGTAGCTGTGACAGCTGCCATATCATCTTTATGCTTTTCTCTAAGTGATGACACACATTTATCATAACTACCTGTAATAAAATACACATAGAATTGAACAAATGGTGCTAAAACAGCATGTACTTTCTCGCCTATATTTTCACGCAAAATTATGCAAAAAAGTACACACATTTTCGAAAAATTGTGACCTTATTTCAAAATCTATCTTTAAAGGGTAGATTTTATTAAGAAAAAATCCTATCTTTAATATTTTAGTTGTACTCTGTAGTAAGACTGAAAAATCTTTAAATGTTTTCAATATTCAAAAAATCAGGGTTTTCAACGAACATGAAATCTGCACCTTACATCCTATCCAACACCAAAATTTAATAAAAATCAATGGAGCCATTTTTGAGAAAGTTTGGGAGATGTCACAGGGACTTCATGCACCCCCCCATTAATATTGGTTCAAATTCAAGGGGCCGCGCATAGCCAGATGTTCAAATTGCGAGAATATCAGTTTTGGGAGAAAATCTGCTGAACAATTAGTCGCTAATAGTTTTTTCACAAATTGGGCAGACGTTTTGCCATCAATTCAGTATCAAGGATCCAAAAAAATGAATCTGGCTACACCATGTGTTAGGAAGATTTTTTCTACTTTAGGCAACTGGATTTTATCACATTTTTATTATCCAGACCCCTGTAATAAGAGTTTTTTGTTGAAAATTCACTGTTTTTTTGTGCAATATTACATAACTTTCTCTCTACTCTGTAGAGAGAAAGTTATGTAATACTCAATAGTTAATCTTTACTTTCTCTCTACTCTGTAGAGAGAAAGTAAAAATTAACTATTGTCAAAGCAGTGGTTAGCATAAATTATATATTTTGAATCAGAAGGATCATTTTCCCTTTCACTCCCATATTTGTTCTGGAAGAAAATGAGAAATAAACAGGCAAAGTAACTCCTATTAATCTAGACAGAGAAGTACAGCAACAGCATACTACGTCATGCTACTTATACATACAAAGTTATGTTAATATACTACCAGTGGAAGATTTACAAAGTATTTCAGGGAGAGATTTCAGCCGACTCTCATAAATATTGTTTAAAATAATTATAATCTTAACATTTAGCATGAAATTTAAAATAAAATTATATTCATAATAGAAATACATAATTTTGGTTGTGATGAGATCTATTTTTTGTAAGAATTTGAATAAATTACAAAAGAACGGCTTTAAGGAGAAGAGGCCATGCTCACCATCCCCCGGATCCATCTAAATCATCACCAATCTCATATTTTAAGGAATTTCCTAAATTCTATTTTATTATATATTTATAACATTTGCATCTCATATTATAAGCAAATTATCCTGTAGAACATTGAAAAGTATAGGGGTGATTTCAAAGATTTGTCTGAATTTCTAGCCTCATCCTACAAAAGTTGCATCCATATTATAATTTTATCAAACGGACTGAGACTAAAAAGAGGTGTATAGCGTCATTAGCAAAAGATTTATTTACGATGATATAAATAAACATGAACATGATATGAAAAGAATTTCTCATGACTATTAAATCTTATACTGATATATTATAAAATCAGCAAGATCAAATTGTAAATATACTTAGAAAAAAAATTAATTTGTTTTTATTGGCTATTTGCCTGGATAAACGTCATATAAATTTACATTGTGAAATGAAGTGAAAATTTCTGTTTATAACAATATAAGAAATGCACAACATGCATAAGAATAGCTAATAAACACATTCAAATTATTTCTAATTGTGTCCCTTATTTCTGTGAAACATCCTCAATTTCAAGTTCTAAAGGTGATGACACCTAAATACACAATACACATAAACAATAACAAAATATGTTAAATTACTTGATAAATTCTCATCATATCAAAATCATTACTGGTAGATAACAATTGCTGAAAGTATAAATTTTCATAAGGTTAACATACTATAAAAATTTTAAACTTAAATTCAGATGTCCAATGATTTTACAATGAAAGAATAGTACAGAAATTGAGATATGTACTGACTTCAAAAGTCAGACTGCAGACCATTGCATTTTTACCAATGCACAGCAATAATTAGTTTATTGAATTAAAGTGTTTCTCAAAATTTACTAACAAAAAGGCATACCATGCTGGAACTGGCTCTCTACAGCGTAGTACTGTCGGAGAAGCTCATGTACCGCAGACTTCATTCGTCCTCTAATTCCGTTACGGTATCTCTGAACCAATTGCACAATCCCCTGAGTTGTTAAAAAGAAGACATCACGATCTGAGCGTTTCTGTAATGTAGCAGCATGCCTACACAAAGTCATATTATTGATACATATACCTTTACAGCAACAAAAAGCATATAACTTAGAATTTGTATGGTATGAGGCTTAAAACTCACCCATCAATTACACTGGCAATCTGCTGACTAGGAAACTGAGCTAGCACAGATGTTATGTTGCGTTCATATAATGTCATTAGCTTCCGAATTTTCTTCTCAACAGAAATAGGAATGCGACCAGAAATTGAGGCAATAACTTCTTGTAATTCTAGCAGAGGCAAGCTTGGATCTCTGAGAGATGCCATGAATTTCTCAATGACTTCACGTAGCCTTGCCAAATGAAAAGGATCTGGCAAGCAATATCCTAAAAAAGAAACTTCCATTAATATTTCTAGAGAGCAGCTAGAATAATTGTCATAAATCTTTACTGGCAATTATAAATACAATTAAAATTATTTTCATAATAAATAAATTTTGAATATTTCTGCAAAATAAAGCAGAAGTTATACATTATATCTTACCAGAAAGAATATTCTCCAATATAACACGATAACTATTATGTACATGATTAAGTTTTTCCCCAACAGTTGGTACGGACATATCCAATTCTGGAAACTGGTTCTTATATTCTTGAGCTTTTGTAACTAACGAAGCATCATCTAATTCAAGATGGGCAATTACTGAGCCAGCATCAAGTACAGCACCAGGTCGCTTGACATAAAACACACTTCCTGCTTCACTTGCAGTAACTGTCATAACCATCTTCATAACCTACAATACAACAGTCAAAGCTTCAATAAGTACTCATAGCTTCAAAGATACATATTTACTTGTAAAAGCGAAATTGGACTGAATGTCATAGCAATTTACTTTTTAATTTGCTTTACAATATACTCTGGTATGAGAAATTAAAGTATACCATTATCAGTAGAAAGAGAGAACTTTAGTTTTAGAGCAGGCTAATGTATTTTACAAGAAACTAATGCTTTTAATGCTCAACCAAAGGGCTGAATATATATATATATTTTTACCTCAATTTCAGCGTATGCTTGGCCTGCATACACATGACCACCATCTTCAACCAAATAATTCAGAAGCTTTCCTGCTGATGGTGCTCGCAGAAGAGTTGGATCATTTTCTTTTTCAAATATGCATGTCTGATTACCAATAACAATTCTATATCTGTCTACTTCTTCACGCATGTATGTAGTGTAGCTGGCACCATCAACAGACAACAGTATTCCTACAAAATTATTTATCTTTTACAATATCCGACTTTCATTATTTTAAAACCACATTAATAACAAAAATCATCATTGTTTCAATCACTAAATTTTACAGTATTATTACCTCCATCTGAAAGACGATGAACTTCAATTTCCTTAAATGAGCCATTCATTACCAAAAAATAAGTATTAGGCCCTGATTTTGTAGATTGAACTTTGTACTTGTAACCATCATTGATTAATTCTACATCAACAGTATTCATTAAAGTATTGGAACCCTGTATCTGGCCTCTGTAAATGAAGATTGTCCACAAAATTTACTCAAGTCTTACATGTATTTGCAGCAAAGGAAACATTGTTCATGAAAATAAATGGAATGAAGGCACAAAGGTACCTCTCTAAAGAGGACTGAAAATTTTGGAATCCATTCAGAATCGTTCTATCAGCAATATGTAATGCTCCACATATTACACCAAGAAGAACATCTGGCTTCTCAGCCTGTACTCGCTCCGCAATCAACACATCCAACCACGAAGTATCTACAGAATTATCCTGGAAACTTGGTGTCTCTAGTAATTTGATCAAATACTCCACAGTGGTTCGGAAATCACCTCTAATAGACAGCTCTTTGAGAGCAATTACAAGGTTTCTACAACAAAAATATTTGATTAATAAAAATAATGTATATTAATGATTTGACTAGTAAAATTACCATACTTATTAACAAAACAAGAAAATAGAAAAGCCAACTTACTCTCTTGCCTGTTCTCTGTTCTCTCCCCACGAGAAACAATGACCAAACTGACTATCTGCAAATTCATGCAGTCCACCAGATGCAGCTACACTAAAATAACCCCAGACATTTTTAGAAGAACGGAAATTAAGTTCCTGAACTGTTCCACTGCTTGGTTTAAAACCTGAAAATAGAGAAGAAATTGTATAACATATTCTTACAATGCAATTCATGATATTGTTAGGTACTGTATTATAATTTTTAAGAATTTATTAAAAAAATAATTTAAAAATATGTTTATAAGAACATTGATGATTTCATTGATGTGTATTTTTATAGTATAATATAAATAATATTTGTAAATATATATGCAAAATATATTAATATAAAAAAATATTTTAGATTCACTACTATATATGAACCTTCTCCAGTGCATTAAAGAAAAGTTTATGACTAGATTATTAGAATTGTAAATGAACATTTTAAGTACAACAAAACCAATATCAAATTCAATAGTGCGAAGAGACACACAGTACCTTCATCTGGATTTTCACTAGTAATTCGAGCAGCAATAACATGACCCCATGGCTGTGGTTTGTGACGAGGTATATCAAAGTCAATATCACTTTCTCCCCAGGGAGACTCCCCGTACAGAAGACGAATGTCTTTAATTCTATTTAAGGGCAGTCCCATTGCAATCTGAAAACCATCAAATGAATTAATTAAACGCAAATCTAAGCAAATTCTGTTTGCCTCCATTTAATAAAATTCAAATTCAAAAAGGAAAATTAATATCAATAAAATATTAAAAATTATATTTCATCAACATCCATGTTGCCTTCAAATAATTCTGCACAAGTGCTTTATGCCATCATTGGCTCTAAATGTAACATTTATTTAAATGAGTAAATACCTGAAGTTGTGCAGCAGGTAGGTTAACATCAGCTACCATCTCTGTGCAAGGATGTTCTACTTGCAATCTTGGATTCAATTCCAGAAAATAATAATTCCCTTCAGTATCATATAAATATTCTACTGTTCCAGCACTGACATACCCAACCATCTTGGCTAATCTTACTGCAGCCTAAAGAAAATAAAATTTAATAAATTTTTCCACCTAATAAAGGTTTCATGATTTCAATTCAAGAAAATTAACACACCTTTTCCATATCTTCAAAAACTTCAGGTTTTGCAATAACAGCTGGAGCTTCTTCAATGATTTTTTGATGTCGACGTTGAATTGAGCAGTCTCTACCAAAGAGAGATATTGCATTTCCATATTGATCTGCAAGTAACTGAACCTCTAAATGTCTTGCACACCGAGCAAGTTTCATAACAAAAATGGGAGAACCAGGTACTTCAGCTTGAACCTAAGGAAAAGAAAAAAAAAAACAACTGTTTTATCACTACTAAAAACAACTACAGAATTTTACACATGAAATAAACAAAATTACTGGATCTTATCATCACTTCTATATATTTCCGTCTTGCTGTGATTAGAAATAACTGTACCTGACGGAAAAGGTTGGCAAATTCTTCCGAATTTTCTACTTTCCGAATGCCTTTTCCACCACCTCCCTCACTAGCTTTAATCATTACAGGGAAGCCTATTTTCTGAGCTGCCTGAAGTCCATCTTCAATACCCGTAACACATCCCTTCTTGTACAATTCTGAAGAAATTTTTATCTTCTTTCCACCATACTGAGCTTTGAGCTCTGATCAAAAATAAAATAATATTGGATATTTAATACAGATTTTTAAAAAAAAATCATGTTTAACACACATTTTGTTATTTACAGAATTATAATATACTTACCACTTCCTGACCAAGGTAGTGTAGGAATATCAGCAGTCTGTGCAACAATACTAGATGCTATTTTATCACCTAAAGCCCACATAGCCTTCTCAGGAGGTCCAATAAATGCAATATTATTTTTATGCAATAATTCTGGAAGCTTGGGGTTCTCAGAAGCATGTCCCCATCCTGCCCAAACAGCCTAGAGAAATGACAATGTACATTGCAAATACCTCAAGAACTGTGGGGTACTTTAAAACCGAATATAAACACTTAACACTTTCATGGTTTTAACAAAATTTTCAACTCACTTGAACTTGTGTACGAACAGCAATATCAAGAATCAGTTCAACATTGGCATAATTATTATTGTTTGCTCCTCCAGGTACTGGGACATAGTGATCAGCCATTTTGATATATTCAGCATTGGCTGCAAAAAATCAACATAAAAATCAGGAATACAGATATGATTACAATTTCTTACAAAACTGCTCAACAATTGTACTAACCTTTAAGATCTTCTGGAGTGACCATAACAACAAATCGCACTGCCCTTTCATTTTTGAACATTTCATATGACCATCGTCGAATTGATCGCATACATTTAACAGCTGCAATTCCATTGTTTGCTATAAGAACCTACAAAATTTCACAATATTTTATAAATTAGAATCACAAAGCAAAACTAATGTGATAAATGCTGCAAGAGTGAAATACAAACTCTCAATTACCAGACTTTATTTACTTTTCTATTTACTTCATTGTCTTCTCTAGGTTATCTAAGGCAATAGAAATTACAACTGACAACACAATACCTTCAAAGTTAATTTCAAATTATATATTGAATCTTATTCATAGATTTCATTTTAATCTGTTAGGATTAAACAATTTTACTTAATTGAGCATTTACCCACCTTCACCATTGAATGAATATAAAACAATCACAAGTTTTGTTACCTTATTAATAACTCTAGTACCACCAAAACGCCTGACAAATTCTTCAGGTGTGGCCACAGTGAAATCTTTTTCTTGAAATCTGGGATGTGCCATTACTGTGCCCTGGGACATGCTTGGTCTGGGAAAAAAAATTTGTCTTGTTTATAATAATAATAATAATAATAATAATAATAATAATAATAATAATAATAATAATAAAAATTAAGAATAATATACAAAATAATGAAATTTCTAGAGATGTTTTAACAAATTATTAAAATGATTAATTACGAAATTTAGAAGTAATAATTTATCAACCTTCTAAAGAAGTCATCAGCATATTTTTTTCAAATTAACACAAGCAAAGTTATTATAAAAAAAATAAAACTAATTAAAAAGAAAAGCAGTTACAATAAATGTAGAATAAGTGTACAAGTATTCTTGAATTAGTTACATTTGTTACATTATGAAATAAACATACAGACACTAAGTTTTTATTTCAAAACCAACTACCATTTCTACAACAAATTCAAATGTTGCATAAAAATGCTTTCTAAAGAGGCCAACATTCAACCGGAAGCTCTTGAGGTGTTTGTCACTTAAATTTTGCTGAAGTAAAAAGTGTGTGTATGAAACAGTAAGAAAAATACGCCTGAAATTCAGTAGTTTCATTATGTACCCCGCACACACATTGGTACTTTGTAGAACGCTATAAGATGAATGATTTGACAACCATCTTATGGAAAGATGTACCCAATTCTTCCAGCATGCTGACTGAAAGATACATGTAACATCAGTTTTCCCAACAAAGGGTTCCTACGACAATATTGCAATACTTTTAAAAACATTACTTAATATTTAATAAAACGTTACAACCTCTCAAACAACGCGAAAATACTTCTGATTTTTATCCTTTTCTGGCAAGCAATATTCAAAAGGCAAAACTTTAAATATTCGAGAAATATTGAAGGGCTCCTCCAGTAATATTGGGCGTGCGCATTTGCGATGCGTCGTGAAAGCAGATGTGGAAACGTTTGTTAAAATTCCCACTGCGCTTTGGAATAACTATGTCTAAGTAAGAAAAGCCTGAACCGCGGAACGTCATGAAGAGAAGATTCAAAACAAGTTGCAGAGCGTTGAAAGTATCAACTGGCGTGCCATACGTATTACTAGTATCAAAATTCATAGAACGAAAAGCGAACATATCAAATTTTGGCAGAATCCATCCATTGTTACTACGTATGGGAACAAACCGTATTGGGGTAATAAAGTTTTCCATCAAATGGGAATATGCGTTTTTTAAGGTAATGTTGGCATGCTTTCGTGAATGAATTACAAGAATGCTTCAGATTAAAAAAAAAAGCAGCAGATAGATAACCGCTCCAACATTTATACCTATCAGTTTCTAAAAACGTTAAAATTAATATTTTCAAAAACCTTCATGATCGCAGATGAGATCATGGATCTGTAGATTCACACGCTCTCAACTAGTCGTGTACAAATAAATGAGTTGAAATAAATAATATAATTGTTATAATCAAATGTTGAGTTTCATAGGAATATATGTTTTGGAAAAAATCGTAAGTCATGGACAAGATTACACACTTTATTGACATGAAAAAAAAAGGAAAAAAAAAGAGCATTTAATGAACTGATGCAAACGTGCAAGTCAAAACGTCAGTACAAAAAAGAGGGTTACAGGGATTTTTTCCAAAAAAGGACATTTTACTTTAAAAAAAAAAGAGGACATATAGTTATACTCCATGATGTATAGACAATACACACAACAATTCCAAACCATTAATAGTATTTAAAAGCATATTAGACTTTGCGTCAATACGAGTAGAAATGAAAGCTTCCGATAGGATAACTTCGTCCCAGCACTCACCTTCATTATCGACCAAACTAAGTTTTTTATCACAATAAGCGTAATGATCTATTATGCAGACCATTTATTTGAGTAAAAATGTAGATATTCAAGAGAAGAAATTCATTTAATGACTTAAATTACTTTAAAATTATGCCCATTTATTTCAATTCAACCCGACAAAAACAGGGCATCTCCATGTAAATTTTTAAAAAGGAGAGGGAACAGATGGCAACCCTGGAGAAAGAAGTAAATGTGTACACATAATAATATCTAGTAGGGTTGCCATAAGGACGACAATAGAATGCAGGACATCCGAAATATATTTTAAAGCAAATTGTTTATTTTTATACAACTAAATATTATATCAAGTTTAAATCGTATAATAATAGTATACCAAGCAAACAACTAAATAGAGAGCCAAGATAAATTACACTTGACACTTTCAAGTTTTTTCTACCAGTACCGGCATAAGCGACTCTGACAGTTCAAGGCGCTGTTGCCACACATTACTACGCATATAGCCCCACCATGACAGATAAATGAAATCACACAACATGAACACTTACTGAAAAGCTATAACCCATATCATGTTCATGTTCATAAGCTATTCATATCATGTTCATAACTTTCGCCAAAACCGAACCTTAACGCCTCCGCGGCTTCGTGTGAATTGGATGAGCGGCAATGCTGAAACCTGGCAGTGAGAAAGTCAACAATCCTCGCAAGTTGATTGCTTCAGAGCAGGTCACATGACGTATCACAGCACATGGCAAGAGAACAGTGGTTGTAGGAGGAATTTCCCTGACTTCTCCAGGTCGTATTCCAGGGCATTTAAATAAAATATTAAATAAAGCATGATTTTGGTGGATATTAAAACAATGTTATTGACTGAGCCCTTTTTCCCTTTACATTTCCGATTCTCTTGCACTAATACATTGTGAGAAAGACAGTTGCATTTCGATTCAAAACACACAATACATTTCTTTATTTTTCAGCTCTAAGATTGCAATGTAAAAAGCCAAAATTAAAATATTTGCGTATCAAAAGAAATAGCCGCTTGCATTCTCCCATATAGCGCATAGTTCTGAGATGTAGTTCACAAGTAGCCTCAAAACGCAATGTTTATAGGACTTTGTCGAATTATAATAGAGTAAAAAAATCCTGCATTTTGGCAGAAACAAAGAAAAATATGTCGGGACAGTGAGACACGTCGATATTCAGGACATATCCCGCTTTTTCAGGACGTGTGGCAACCCAAGTAACTATTATGATAACAGGAATATCCCTACATTAATATCTCAAAAGATCGTTCCTGGCACTTCTGTAGATCGAGGGGTAACGCGGATGTTATGTCCAGGGTTGCCACCTCTCCTGGTTTGACCCGGAGACTCCGGGCTCCGAGTTATATACAAAATGTAATACCTTTTTTCACTTTTAAAAAAAGTGGTTAATCGTTATTGAATAATTTTATTTTATCGAATTATTTCATATAAATTACAGAAAATGCAGACAATTATTGTTTTTTTTAATAAAAATATAGATGGAAATAGATAGCAAAACGGTAATTTGTGATTAGTGAAGAATACTGATTTTGATGAAGTCTAGTCCGATTATAGAATAATTATTGTTGTAGTAATTAATGTGTTATTAGCATTATAAAATTATTATTATTAATTAATCGTAAAGAAGTCCTGCATTCTTTTATAATAAATGTTGATTGTGAATTTAAATATTTTACTTACTGCACCTTCACCTCCCCCCCGGTAATCAATTATCTCCGGGTGGCTTCCATCTCGAAAGTGGCAACCCTAGTTATGTCGATTAGACTTAATTATCTCAAAACAATAATTATTAGAAGAGAGGCAACTTCCATGACATATTCTTACAATATTCGTACCCCCGTACGCGGTATCCTTGCATGCCCCTGAAAAGCACGATAGTTTCTGCGACTGCTCAATGACCTAGACAAATTACTAACGGTCGCAGGGCAAAAGTACCAGGTAATAATTACGAAATAATTGTCGTAATACATCTTATTACTATATGAGACTGAGGAATTTTCAAACGAGACCTTTGGACAGAGTTTGATATCCAATCGTTGATAGTCGAGTTAGATATCCACTCCAATCGTTGAAATAGAGTTGCCACCTATTGCCACAAACCCGGAGATTTTCATTAGCGGGGGGAGATTTAACATTTACACATATTTTTTAATTGTACAATCATAATTTTAATTTATTAGTTTAGAAACAATCAAATAAATTACATTTCCATAGTCAACTATCTATAAAACAAATAATAAATGATTACATTAAAAATAGAATCTCTATATTACTTTTCTGTAATATTTATTTTTAAAAACTAACTTTTCTTCCAAGTATATTTCTCATTTGAAACGGCTTTCTTTCGTAAGCATACTTGCTTCTTATTGTTTATGAATTTGTGAAATTCGGCGCAAGACATACCGTAGTTTAGTTTTGTAAAGAGTTCTGCTTTGATTAATTCGACACTCATCCTGTTTCTCAAATCGGACCAAATGTTTCCCATAATTGAGAAAATCCGTTCTACGTAAGCATTACTTACGGGAATGGACAAAACCCTGCTAACAATTTTGGGAAGTTCTTTAAAATAATCTGATGCAGAAAAAAATTTGACCCATACAATGTCTGTCGTGTAGTCTTGAATTTCTAATTTGGAAAGAGTGTTTGTATTTCATCGTACAAGCATCATGTAAGATTGAGAAAAAATATCTTATTTTCATATAAGACGACGCCAAATTATTATTAACTAACGGGTATCTGAAACATTTTAAAAACAAATTAAATTTATTGAGATTAATGATAATTACAATTTTATAGTTAGTAAACTATTATTCATATAATTAATACTTACACCGTAGTGAATAGAATAAGTTGAAAATATTCCAAAATATATTGTCTTCAAAATAAAATTCAACATTAAAATATCATTCTTTAGATATTTCTATTTAACAGACTCTTGAATATTCATGTATGTATGTATGTATATATATAATATTCTTGTATCTTCAGGTTTATATGCTTGATTGGCAGCAAATTCAAAATTTGTACGGTTAAATTATTGACCAACTCGGATGAAAAAAAAATTCGAAGAATTTTTCATATTATTACAATAACTAAATAATATTTAAACAAATAACATTAGTATCTATGACATTAATTATGAGATTAAACTAACGACTAAATTTCTAATAACTACGACTACGACTAAATTTCTAATAACTTTTGTCG